TTTTTTAAATCACTCTTTCAATACCTTTATACTATTGTTTTTTATGTACTGGACAAATATTAATAAAATAACAATAATCAGTTCATAAATAAAAAAAAATACGTTCTTTGACATTTTGAGGGTTTAAACCTTTCTTTTTCAAGCAGCCGATATAACTATAATTCACATGAACACCAAAAGAGATTATGATATGAGGAAATAACACTTGTAATATGTATTTTCAAAAAGATTTGTTTGGGGGTTGGGGGAGGATTTACATTGCACCAACACTGTACAAGGTCATATGATGACTTTCAAGTTTTCCTGTTGGAATATCTCAGGTGCCCCTCCGTGCATTATTTCTTTCAGGTAAGAACAAGCACCTTAGTAGAACCATACACTTTCCATAAGATATAACCAAACACTTTCAATAAGCTCCATTCATATTCGAACAGTATAAGGGAAATAAGTATGACTTTGTAGACTTTTATTATTCAGGATATAAATATAATATATCCAGTGAAGATTTTTTTTAACCTTTCCCCATGACTGGAAATTTAGATAGGTAGTCCATATGCTGTCCATGGCAATGAATGGCCAAGGGTCAGATAATACAGAAAGGGTTCCCAATTTTTTTAAATTCATTATAAACACAGCGTAATTCCAAAATCTAATGGCCAGTCTGAAACAGCTGCAGTGCTGTTGTAACACTCTTTTATTTCTGAAACAAAATAAAGTTATACTAATTTTAATAAGGCTGATATTCATGTATAAAATTAACAAAATTTTGTGTGCAGAAAGGCACACAAAAAAGATAAAAAGGTCTGGAAAGGGATGATTTGTCTCAGAAACAAAAAAAAAAACAATGAAAATTAAAAACTATTTCATGGAGTTACTATACTCTTTTATTATAAAAAAAGAAACTTTTTTCTTGCAATATTTAAAAGTGACCTTGACCTATAGCCTAGAGACTTACTTCATGTATTGAACAATATAACTCAAAAACATTTACATTAAGTAAAATTAAAATCACTCCATGCATGTTAAAATATGCTTAGGTAAAAATCTGAAAATCTCATCTGTAGTGACGTTTAGTTTAAACTTCCCTAGAATAATATTGATAATAATTTATTTATGTATACCTCAGTCACTCTGAGTAAAAAAAAATTCAACAAAGAATCACTCATGATGACTACCTATACATAGTAAATATGTATGTTTCCATAGATATATCTGGTATTTAACCTCTATGGCACTGTTAACCTCACAACACAAAGGCTTTCCTTGCCATTTTTGTTATTTTATTCATTTATGTCACTCTGAACAAGTATTTTCCAATGAACATTTAAAATGAACTGGACATTTTTCCTTTGTCCTAAAGACTTAAGTCATGTACCTGACACTATGTTAAACATTGGTGAACATTCCCCTGCGAAATGAAATGCATGAAGTCAAGAATATTTCATACTTTAAAGAACTGTTCATGAACTATTCTTGAAAAAATCTTAAAGCTTCTTCATGAATTTTCATGAAGTGACGCGGTCTTCGTTCCCACTTTCATGGAAGAAATTTGAAGAATCATTGGGAAGAATTTCATAAAAGTTCTGGAAATATTCATGAAATGTTTCAAAAAAAAAATCAATGAAATTTTTTATGGAACTTGATTATCCCTTAAAATACTCATGAACTTATTTCATCAGAAATTTTTCATGAAGGTTTTAATGAATTTTTTAAAGAAGTTAAAAAAAATCAACAAAGCCATTCTTTTGAAAAAATCAATGTATTCATACTTGAAAGAGTTTTTTAAAACTATTTATCTTATACACGTAATAATTAAATCCTTCTAAAAAAGTCAAGAAATAGTCCTAAGAGAAAAAAAAAATATATAGAGCATATGTAATGGACCTTAGAGCCTTTTCATTGCAAGAAATTAAGCTTAACTTATTATTCAGCGGTTTCCACTAGGCAATTTTTTTTAGGAAGTCAGGACTTCCTTTCAAGGAATTTTGGAAGTCATAAGGTTTAAATTTCTGGAAGTCAGTTGTCTTACGCGTATTAATTTTCATGTTTCAATGTTTTGATTTTATTAGTTATGGGGATGATACAAGTAAAAGCAATAATTTTTTTAATCAACAAGATTCTTGAAAAATGTCATTCCTTTTTAAATGTTTAAGTTTCATAGTATCTTTACATGATTGTTGGGTAAAATATTTTCCAATAGAAGTAAGAAATATTACCCTTGAAAAGGACTGGGTATTGTTGTTAAATTTAAGGACAGTGGTAACCCGTGTAGAACCCTTCAGTGATAACATTTTTCAAATTTAATTGCCTCATTGGTATAACAAAAAAAACAATTATTTTCCAGAAAACTTTAATTTCTTTAATCAATCATGGTACAAATAGATTCTGAAATGTGTATGATTGGTTTCTTCTTTTTTCTACCTCTGGATCAGTACCCATACAGCTGTTGATCTCATGTGATCAGCCTGGACAGCATTTTTGTGGTCCTTGGATTCATTGTGTTTTTAAAAGGTTGGATTCTCTGTAGATTCCCTGAAATAAAAAAAAAAACATGACATCCTTTAGCATTGTTATATTTCTCCATTTGTAAAATAAAATTGTTGTTTTAAATATCTCTCGTGTTTTAAAAATTATTTTACTACAGTACCGAACACAATTTCAGTGTATTCAAATGAATCATAACACATTAAACAACCCAAAATGGCTAAAGTTAATCAGGCTTGTAAATTGAAAGTTTTATGAAAATACTTTCGAACACCGTTCTTGACCAAATTAATTTTTTTTAATTACGTTTTTTGAGATACGCCAAATTGCAGAAGTGAGCGTTGAGACATTTTGAAGAGTGGGTAGGGAAAAAGATTTTTTTAAATGTAACTTTGGCTTTCTCATAATTAGCGAGTGAAAAAAAAAATCATATCAACATCCTTAGAAAGTGTGTGAAAAATAAAACGTCTTTAACTTCAAAAAGGAAAACAAATCAAAAGACAAAAACACGCTTCGCCGGACTCGGCAAACTTTCGATAATTCAAACTACCGATGCAACACAATAATAAATAAAATCATTTTATCTAATTAAAGTAAAAAAACAGATACCTACCACAGTTTATGTCAATTAACTATCCATTATCCGTTACAAAACAAAACAATTAATCCAATCACTTTCAGTTTTGTTTTCACCGGTAATCCAAGGTCGTAAATTCAACACTCGCTAATTCGTCACGCGCCAGGTGCATTCGCCAAAATTTTCACCCACGCTGTGTCATTTGTAACCATTCAATTCAGGGGGGCGGAGTTAAATAAATAATCCAATGCGTACGCCAGGAAAGTGAGAAAGGTCGGAAAATGGTCGTGGTGTACGTCGCGGCTTACGATTTTTCGCCGTATTCCTAAATTTTTTGGAAGTCGGCGGTACGTCATTGATCTAATTTTTTCGGCGTTACAGATACGATTTTCGGGCGTAATTTACGGGCCGTGACGCCCGTTTAACGGAAGCCCTGTTATATCACAGATTAAAAATTCTTACAGGAGCTCTTTGATATAAAAAAAAATCTAATACAGATTGTTTCAAAACTAAGCATTTACATATAAAAAAGAACACAACATCTTATTGCCAACCCAATTTTAATACTTATAAGTAGCGTATTATATTTTATTCATATCTGTGCTAAAAACATGTAAATCAGGACACTTATATTAAAGCTATTTTAGCTCATTTAAAAACTTGAGAGTCTGACTTAGTTTTCAGAATAAAAAAACTTGTCTTCCACCACTTTAAATTTTACACAATGTAAAATTTTAAAGATTGAGGTCATAACACCACTTTTCAATCATTAAAAACATGAAATTTCAAAGATATGAGTAGCCTGGAGTCTTTATTGCAATAATCAGTCCTGTGAAATTTGGTGTAATTTCCTCTATGTTAAGAGAAAATAGTTTATATATATATAGAATTTGACAATTCAAGGGTTTCATTAACACATTCACATAATCAATGAACTGGAGCACGAGGTATGATATTACACTATTAAGACTTTTGCTCTGACCGAGTTCCTTGTTAAAAAATTAGCCCAGCATAGAGTACAAGTGAAGTATCCAAAACATAAAAGTCAACGTTTGAAGGACCATATTTAAGTTACGTTTGAAAAACTAGAACATGTAGATGGTTTGCACAACCCCTAAGCCTTAACCCACTTGAAAAAGTTGTAATGTGTTAATAATTTTTTTAGGAAACGTGGCCAAAAACAAAAATTTGGTGCCAAGAATTTATCAGTCACTTGAAATTATAGCGATTGTCCATGTTTGTTTGGCCTTGGGTCCCCAAACTATTGCTGTTCGTGGCATCTACCTCCAAATCCATGAAAACCAATGTACACATTATCTGTTCCACAGGTACAAAACATCCAATCTTTCATGACTTTTGTATTTGCACTGGTTTTTTAAATGTTTTTCCTCCTTTTCATATGTATTGCAGCCAAGAAGTACTGTTGCAGTATTCATCTTTCTTTCATCACCAGCATAACTTTTTTTGTATCATTCACTAGAATAAGTAGTGTACCAAACCTAACTTGTCAGTAGAATTAAAGGACAGCAAGACATGTTACGCTTTTCTTCATTCTTGAGTATTCTGGCACTGATAAGAATTTGTTGCCATTAACACATATTCTTTGAACCCTTTCTCAAACTTCTACTAGCTTTTAAACACCCTAATGCATGGTTAAAATGTCCCCACTTGGCTGACCTCTAAATGTCTGCACAGAACCAAATTTATGTCACCAATTTTTGTGCCACAAGGGAGTCCACTTTTCGTTTTCCTTTCTGATTTGACTGTTTCTCCCCCCTTTTATAGATCTTATGACACCCTTGAACGGAGCTTGTAAAATAATTTAAAACATTTTCAAAAATTTCAAAATTGTCAAATCTTAAGTCACTGAAAAAATTAGTAATTTATTGTAAAACCTGTGAAACAAAAGGTCACACCCAAAAGAGACAATTTAGCAATGATGGCTTCCATTAGCGCTCAACTAAGCAACTGTGAGTTTGCACAAATAAAGAGTTTAGACTGGGTATAATGATATTAGAATTGTGAGCCCAAATTGGTGCTTTAAATACATAAAAGTAGATCAAAAGGGCTATGATTAAAGGTCACTATATACATAACTTAAAACTAGACCCACCCATTTTGGGGTTCACCCAAGGATGGTCGTTATTTTAGGAAAGATTTGGACTTGGTATGTTCAACACCTCGAATTAACAAGTATTTTCTACCATACTTACAAAGGCCATTGCTGGCTACAATAGGTGTTTTCAGAATTTTATCCTTGGTTGATGTACTATTCGGAAGGCAAAACTTGCACTGAAACAATCTCTTTTCAGAAAATAATGTGAATGCATCTTATAACCATTCAGCTTTTTTTCCTTGGTTGCCATCTGAAATTTTAAGAAAGGTACATTAATTATGGGGTTTACTGGTTTCACCTTTCACTTACATGTAATGTTGTGGTAGATTTCAGACTTAATTTGTACATTTGATTTGATTATTGAAGAGGATGAGATTATTGCGATGTTAAGAAGATTAGCGGACGCCTTTTTGACTTTTTTAGAGTTGTTTGAAACTGTTGGATAAGAACCAAACTTAGCCAAATGTTTTTTCGAAAAAGTTTACGAAACGCTTCAGCATTATTTTTAGTGTCACTAATGTGTTTTCTTCTAGTGTAAATATATTTTTTGACTATAATAAATGGGAGATGAAAGCTATTTAAATTAAAAGAAATTATCAAATCCTATTTAAAAAGATTTAAATCTAAATCATTACTGGAATGACCATTTATTAATAATTTTTAACTGAATTTTATTATTTTTCTAGTTTTCTGGGGGGAATGTGTTTTTTTTTCACTAAAAAAAAAAATATATTATGAAAGATATAGTATTAAATAACAAACACAAATGCAAAAGACCTATCATAATGGGGATTACTGATCGACAAGCATACAATTGCCCTGACAAATGTTGGTACATAACACAGGTGCTTAGGTGGCATTGATTTTGACCTAAAATGTGTTTGACCTTGTTATTTATACAATAAAAATATCAAATATATTAAAAAAAAAAATTTTTTTTTTACTGTTATATTATTATAGACAAGGTATGCAACATTCAGGTACGAAAATTATGGGTACGCCGGTTATCTGTGTTAAAATTTTTCACCGGGCGGTAATATCGTCGGAATTTTGCAAAATGGAATCAATGCACAATATATTTTTCTATTTCAATTTACTATATACAGATCCCCAATTAACCGCTAAGTAATGTTTTAAAGCCCGAAAGTAAGAAATTACCCAGGTCCGAAAGACGAGACCGTCATGACATGTACATTGTAAGCTGGTATTTACGCTACAAAGAGATTCAAACGGGTCGAACTCACATGCAAACAACTGGATTTTACGTACTTTTAAATAGTTATATCCTCCAGGAGTGGCACTAAGTCCTATGTGCCCGTATTTTAAGAAAAATTCTAACATGTATATAAGGTAATTCCTAAAAATCGGAAGTGTTCTCCCACAACACGTGCTTGGTTCCCTGTTCCGCTCTTTGTCAATGTATGTGAAACGGAAGCCGGAGAATACTTCCGGTAGGAATTACCTTCTAAAAATATCGTCTACATGTAGGATATTTCTTTAAATACAGGCTCATAGGACTAAGTTCGACTCGTGGAGGAAAATTGTTGTAAAAAAGATTCTAAAACTCCATGAAACGAGTGACACGACAGAATCAGTTATTTTGTTTTGGGTGCCATCAAAGTGCTGTCTGCCATACTGAAAGCTATCGTGAACGGAATGTTTTAAACGAAATTTGTTTTTTGAGAATATAACCTTTGTCTATCCTTACGTTATCCAAATAATAATTACAATTAACCCATTACAATAAAAAAGGTTCGATAAAAGTTGATAAAACAATGAATATAATAAATAAATACCTGAAACTAAATAAATATTTTTCGTTCACTCACCGTGTGCAAAAGACTGGTTTCCAGCTTGATATCCTGTACAACATTATCGTAGTATCTAGCGCGGGTAACCAATGGCGAGCGTTTGGTTTCGTCTGCAAAAATCATAGTTTAACACACGCGGCAAAATATTCAAACATCGCTCAACAAATTTTCAACAGACAAACATGGCAGATAGCATGATTTACTTTCTGGTACAATGGGAGGATTTGCTATATGAGTGTAATTTCACCCGATAGCGTTCTTTTGCCGAAGAAAAACTCAAAATGGGGACTACGAAGAGGGCGATCTAATTGAGGCTGTTTACAACAGAGGGAAGTCGTACCAGGCAGTGATTAGCGAGGTCCATCGTAAGTTAGCTTCGACACATAAACGGTGCTCAGTTGTAATAAGGTGGGAGAGGGGCAGTGTGGCTACAGACGCTGATTTTTGACTGTATACCAAATATTTCTTTGTTAGAAAAGCGACTCAAGTTGCCGTTAAATCATTATCTGAAATTTATGTATCCAAAACTCATAATTTTATGCACGATCGTAACGCTGTGAAGATTCTCTGACTCGTACATATCTGCTTTTTACACGCAGGTGTTTAAAACATTTTAGCATTAGAATAATTGAAATATACTATGTATTGTACAAGTTCCTGTTTTTCTTTTAAATTATAGGTTCGCCAAAGTTCTCAGCAGAGGTCATTGTGGCAAACAAAAGAACCTCAAGATGTGAAAGCCCACATGTGTAAGTTGATGCAAAGTTAGTTAATAATTCTCTTCTAGTGAGCGAATATAAGCCAAACTTCACATGAATCATGTTCCCTCTTAGCTGGTTTAGGTGAGTTAAATCATCAGCCTAACTACGTGGATTGACTAAATTCTGATAACATAAGGAGGACCCATGTGTTTTAAGATTTTTGAGTTCTAAAAGGACTGGTTTGCAAAAAAAACTAATGTATATTACCCGGGTTTAACATGCATGTCCCCTTATGAATGGACTAAAGGCCTTGGTCATTTTCTCTCTTAACCCTTTACCACATGGATACGTGTTTTAACGCAAATACGACTATTGCAGATCCAGATAAGCCTGTACATTCGTGCAGTCTGATCAGGATCTCCACTGTTCGCTTAGTCAGAAATTCTTCTATGAATATAAAAGCAAACAGTGGAGATCCTGATCAGACGGCACGGTTGTGCAGGCTGATCTGGATCTGCACTGGTAGCATATGCGTTAAAACATGTGCCGTAAGTGTGACAATACTCCCCTCCAGCCATTATACAAGACATATTTATTTCATTAATGTTGCCATATTTGGGTCTGCAATTATCTTAAAGTCTAGCTGGAGGTCTGTAGGATGCCTTAATTAGACACATATGGCAGGATTGAGGTTTTGTGACTTTTCCCTATTCAATGTAATTGTTTCCTTTCCTTATCAGGATCAAGGAAGAAATACGGGCACTGAGGAGGAAGATAAGGAAGCTTGAAGATAGGGTTGTGGCACTCGAGTCAGGTGGTTCCAGTCAGCAGGATAATCTTTTAAAATTGGTTTCCCACCTGGATGCTAATGATGTCCAGCAAGTTTTATCAACACTATGCAAAGCTATATTCTCAAATGAGGAGTTGATGAACTGTAGCAGAACAGGGAAGAGAACCAATCAATGTTCTGAGAGAGGTCACACCCACCTTTGGACATTGTTAAGGTTGAAAAGCTGGAGCATTTTGTGCGTGAAAAAACTAACATAAGCAAAGATTGCTTCATTAAAAAGTTCGAAAATATGCAGAAAACACTGCGCCAAAAAAAGAAGCAATAATATGTCAATAATATGTCATTGCTGATATGTGAATTAAAAGAGCAATAGTCACATTCACATATTTTATTGTTTATATGGAGGCCTTGTCTGTGTCTCAGAAAGTCTATTTTTGGCCATAATTTTACAAGTTAGACCTTGCAAACATGTGCAAAATCAGCGGCCTCTTGTGAGCGCTCATTTGGGGCGCTTTTTTGCAGAATATTTATCACTGTCCTGAGTCTTCTTTGAGGTTGCTGCAAAATCTAAGGCAAATATGAATATTTGGCAATTTTTTTACTTCTTGAAATATTCTTAAAATGCAAATAATTTTGTGCATGAAATTTCAAGCATTTATCTTCATGCACTATTCACGAATAAAATATTCATGAACAGAAAATGAGACATTAAAATAATGAACAAAAAAAAGTTCATGAACTCTTCATGAAGTTCATTTTCAAGAATTTTCGTCATATGTTTCTTGAACTCTTCATGAACAAGAGTTTTTAATCATTTCATGAATAAATCCATGATAAAAAAACAACTTCATGAATACTTCATGAATTTGGCCTGTTTTAAACTCTATGAACTCTTCATGAACTTTTCATGAATGTGGGCTGTGCATGAAACCATGAATAATTCATGCATATGTCTCTTCATGAATACTTCATGAACTGTCGTTTCATGAGTTTTTTATGAATAAGTCTCATTTTCTGTTCACTTCTTTCACTTGAAGTCTTCATGAAGTAACTTCATGAATCTTTCTTGAATACTTCATGAATACTTCATGAAGAATGACTAAACATTTCGCAGGGGTTGTATCAAGTAAAATTCCTTCAGCCAGGTTTAAGACAAAGCTGATGCCAAGGGCATTTTGTATGATAGAACTGTAAACTAAGGCAAAACCAAAACTACAAAACCAATGGCAACAAAAATTACAAAAATAAATGGAAAAAAATAAAATTGATTTGTAAAAATATTAACTCGTAAACTTACAACACTCAGCTACTTTCAACATTGACCAATAGAAACAGAACTACTTCCAACAATACTTACTCAAATTCTGGTCACAAAAAAATAAAACAAAAGTAACTAAACTTCCTGCCAAAAAAGTAACTAAACTCCTTGCAACAAAAGTAATCCAACAACTTGCAAGTAAGTAACATAATCAACTTGTTGCAACGAAATGTAACTGCAACACAAGTAACTCAACTACTTGCAAAATTAGTAATTAAACTTCTTGCAACAAAATTAAATCAATTTCTTGCAACAAAAGAAACTCAACTTTTTGCAACAAAGGTAACTCAACTTCTTGCAACAAAAGTAAATCAACTACTTGCAACAAAAATGAACCACCTTCTTGCAAAGTAAGTTACTCCATCACTTGCACCAAAAGTAACTAAACTACTTTCAACAAAAGTAACTAAACTTCTTGCATCAAAAGTAACTCAACTACTTGCAACAAAAGTAAATCAACTTCTTTGAAAAAGTAAATCAATTTCTTGAAACAAAAGTAACTCAATCACTTTTAACTAAAGTAACTCAAAAACTTGTCACAAAAGTAAATCAACAGCTAGGATCAAACAAAACCCAATTAATTGCAACAAATGTAACTCAACTACATACCACAAAATTAACTCAAGAACTTCAAAGTAACTCAACTTCATGGAACTTTAAGTACCTCAACCAATTGCAACAGAAGAAATTCAATTACTTGCAACAAAAGTAACCAATGTCTTGCATCAAAAAGTAACTCAACTAAGTGCAACAAAAGTAACTTAACTACTTGCAAAAAGTAAGAGTAATTAAACTTCTTGCAACACAAAAAATCAAATCAACTTCTAGCAATAAAAGTAACTAAACTTCCTGCAACAAAAGTAAACAAACTTGTTGCAATAAAAGTAGCTCAACTAATTGCATAAAAAAACTCAACTACTTGCAACAAAAGTAATGCAACTTCTTGCAACAGTAGTAATTCAGCTACTTGCAACAGCAGTTAATCAACTTCTTGCAACAAGTATCTAAATCATATTCTTGATACAAAAGTAAAGCAACTTCTTGGAACAAAAGTAATTCAACTATTTGCAACAAAAATAATTCATCTTCTTGTCACAGATGTAACTCAACTTCTTGCAACAAAAATAAGTTAACTTCTTGCAACAAAAGTAAGTCAACTACATGTAACAAATGTAAATAAACTTCTTGAAACAGCAATAACTCAAATTCTAGGAACAAATGTTTCTCAACTTCTTGTAACAAAAGTAATTCAACTACTTGAAACAAAATAAATAAAGTTCTTGCAACAAAAGAAACTCAAGTAACTGCAACAAAAGAAATTCAACATCTTTAAACAAAGTAAGTAAATCAACTTGTTGCAACAAAAGTAAATCAACTTCTTGCAACAGTAGTAACTCAACTTCTTGCAACACAGTAACTTAACTACTTGCAACAAGTTTAACTCATCTTCTGGTAACAAAAGTAACTCAACCACTTGCAACAAGCATCATTAATTTAAATTACTTGCAACAAAAATAACTCAAATAAAAGCAACAAAAGAAACTATCTTTCTTCACAAAAAAGGACCTCAATGTCTTGCAACAATAAAAACTAAACAACTACCAAGAAAGTAATCTCAACTTCTGGCAACAAATGTATCTCAGCAACTTGCAAAAAGCGTTATTCAGTTACTTGCAACAAAAGAAACTAAACTCCTTGGAACAAAAGTACCTCAACTTCTTGCAAAAAAACAATTCAACCACTTGCAACAAGTGAAATTCAATTACTTGCAACAGCAGTAACTCAACTTATTGCAACAAAAGTACCTCAATTACTTGCAACAATAGTAAATAAACTTCTTGCAATAAAAGTAATTCAAGTAATTGCAACAAGTTATGCCACTATGTGCAACAAAAGTAACAAAACTTCTTGCAACAGTAGTAACTCAAGCAGCAAAAGTAATTCAACTTCTTGAAACAGTAATACCACTTCTTGCAATAGTAGTAACTCAACTTATTGGAATTAAGGTAATTCAAATTCTTGCAAAAAAATATCGCAACTATTTGTAACAAAAGTAACTCAAATACTTGAAAGAAAAGCAACTCAACTACTTGCAACAAAAGTAACTTGACTTCTTATAACAAAACTAACTCAGCTACTTGCAACACACATGATGCAACTTCATACAACAGAAGTAAGTTAACTTCTTGGAACAATAGTAAATCAACTACTTGCAACAATTGTACTTGCAACAATTATAAGTAAACTACTTGCAACAAAAGTAAATCAACTTCTTGCAACAAAAGTAACATGATTTCTTGCAACAGTAGTTACTCAAATTCTTCAAACAATCAAAATTCAACTTCTTACAAAACAAGTAACTAAATCAACGTCTTGAAACAAAAGTAAATCAACTACTTGCAGCAAAAGTAACTCAATAACTTGCAACAAATGTAACTCAACATCTTGCAAAACAAATTCTCAAATTCTTGGAACAAATATAATTCAATTTCTTGCAACACAAGTTAATCAACTTCTTGCAACACAAGTAAATCAACTTATTGCTCAATAAGTAACTCAACTACAAGCATCAAAAGTTTCTTGCAACAGACAGTAACTCAACTTCCTGGAACAAAAGTAACTCAAACAGTTGCAACAAAGGTAACTTTACATGGTGCTACAAAAGTAACTGAAAAATTTGCAACAAAAGAAAACAAACTCTTTGGAACAAAAGTTACTGAACTTCTTGCAACAAAAATACCTCAACATCTTGCAACAAAAGTAACACAACTACTTGCAACAAAAGTAACTCAACAACTTGCAACAAAAGTAAATCAACTTCTTGCAACTAAACTAACTCAACTTGTTACAACAGTAGTAACTCAACTTCTTTCAACACAAGTAACTAAATCAACTTCTTGCAACAAAAGTAACTCAACTTCTTGCAGCAAATGTAACTCAACATCTGCAACAAAAATACTCAAATTCTTCAAAACAATGTAATTCAACTTCTTTCAACAAAAGTAAATAAACTTCTTACAACACTAGTAACTCAATGACATGCATCGAAAGTAAATCAACTGCTTGCAAGAGTAGTAACTAAACTCCTTGCAACAAAAGTAGCTCTAATACTTGCAGCAAATGTTACTCAACATCTGCAACAAAAGTACTCAAATTCTTGGAAACAATGTAATTCAACTTTTTGCAACACAAATAAATCAACTTCTTACAACACAAGTAACTCAACTTCTTGCAATTAAAGCAAATCAACTTCTTGCAACAGTATTAACTAAACTTCTTGGAACAAAAGTAACTCAACGTCTTTCAACAAAAGTAACACAACCACATGCAGCAATAGTAACTCAACTTCCTGCAACAAAAGTAACTCAACCACTTGCAACAAAAGTAACTCAACTACTTGCAACAAAAGTAATTCAATCACTTGCTACAAAAACAAACAACTTCTTCCAAAAAAAGTAACTCAACTACTTTGAACCAAAGTAAATCAACTTCTTGAAACAATAGTTATTAAGCTTCTTGCAACAGTAGTAACTCAACTACTTGCAACAGTTGTAACCACTCATAACAAAAGTAACTCAACTTCTTGCAACATGTTACAGTAGAAACTCAACTTCATTCTACAAAAGAAATTCAACTGCTTGCAACAAAAGTAAATCAACTACTTGCAACAAAAGTAACTCAACTACTTGCAGTCAATGTAACTCAACATCTGCAACAAAAATACTCAAATTCTTCAAAACAATGTAATTCAACTTCTTTCAACAAAAGTAAATAAACTTCTTACAACACTAGTAACTCAATGACATGCATCAAAAGTAAATCAAATTCTTGCAAAAGTAGTAACTCAAATTCTTGCAACAAAAGTAACTCAAATACTTGCAGCAAATGTAACACAA